GTATCTAACAGGGGACATTTATAACAACAATATATCCTATACATAAAATCCTTTTAGCTCCATGAATGTGCCTTGCTAGTTTTCTGCACATAATGTACTTAGATCTAAATATGGTATTTCCTCTTTTGAAAATCTGATCACTACATTTTACTGGCTAAATAAGCCCTTTAATAAAGACATTCCTTAGGTGTACTCTGTATGAAAAGGATTGTCTGCAGCGATGCAGCTTTCTTTTTATATATAGCTAAGGTCAGACTGTAAAACGTGTAATGCATAAGTTGTATATTATGTTCTACCTGAAGTGCTATTGTTCCTGTCCAGCATGAAGGTTTTTATTTGTGTTCCAGGAGATGCAGACAACAGAGAGATTGGAAGTTTTGTTTAAGGCTAGCGAATTTATTTCTTCATTGAGATGATTTGCAGCCGCACAAGAATTAATAGTGATAAATATGGTTCAAGTTTGTTTTTAAAGAACTGCCAGCTGGACAAATAAATTGTCTATTCTGTCCACTTCCAGTGTGTAATGACTAAGGCTGAACATTCAGATAATTTATAAAATGTGTTAGTATAAAGCAGTAGATTTTGTTATGAAACTTCAGTTTTAGAACTTCGGAGTTAGAGACCCATTTATACTTATGTGGGCCAGGCATGGATCGGGGTGGCGTTCACTGTCTGACCTCAGCTGCAGATTAGACCACAAAAGTTCAGGGTATCAAAAGGGCTACTTATTGCCTCTATGTGTCTATCTATCTATCTATCTATCTATCTATCTATCTATCTATCTATCTATCTATCTATCTACTGTATCTATCTACTGTATCTATCTATCTATCTATCTATCTATCTATCTATCTATCTATCTACTGTATCTATCTACTGTATCTATCTACTGTATCTATCTATCTATTTGTTGGACTTCAAGGTGGGTGGGAACTATTGTGGTAAGATCCTGCCACTGGAGTGGAAGTTCACCCTAGAATTATTCTATAAACACTAGAAAGCCATATAACACATGCACCTTGATAAATGCATAGCACAATATTTGAATTCTGTCTGGGCTCTGAATGACCAGCAATCCAAGTCCTGGACCCTAGTTGTTCTCTTGGTTGTTCTCTTGGTGTTTCTCACCCAGTAGCTAAGTGATGTGAATATGGGTGATCTGTCTGACAGGTAGATAACTTCTGCAACCCAAAGGATCTAGACAGTATGCTTGGCTTCACAGTGAACATAGCAATTGAAGCTCGACAAGAACTAAAACTGTGCAGATACAACTTTATTACATTAGGGTCAAGAGGATATTCAAGTGGTGTAGTCAACGCATTTTGACTACAATCCCTGGAGCTTAAAAGTTGCATTGTGTTGTGATGGGAGTAGGCTCGTCAGCAGTTTGTTTAGAAGCCTTTTAAAAGCCTTTTAACAGTGACACCATGCACCTCATGGTGCTGCTCAGCCCAACCCCCTGCCCCATACTACTTATAGCTTTTTGATCAAAAAGCCTGACTGGGAATTGCTCTGACACTAGGGGGGCTGAGCTAAACTATGAGTTGAATGGGGTCCCTGGAAAATAGCCAGCAGTTTCCAATTCTGGACAACCGGAGCATAGACAGAAGTCAAACATGGTGCTATGCGGTTATCAATGTACAAGTGTTATAGGCTAGTTTATTGTTTAAAGAGTAATTCTAAGGTGAACTTCCACTTTAAGTATTAGTGCTAATAAGAGCAGCAGAGACAGTAATGGGTTAACAACATTATAATTTTTTAATATCAGTAGAAAAAAATCTAAAACGGCGTTTGATTTTGCTTTTGCATTGGCTGCTATGGGACATGGTGCCCACTATGCCCTTGCTAGTAATAAATACCTGTGCTTTGTTGTATCTAGAAATTGATGTAGTTATAACATAAACCTGCACAAATGAGATTGCTTTATTGTTGTGCAAGGAGGACCACACTTAATATGTTTCACCTTTTCTTGATCTGTGAAATAATAAGAGCAATTTGTGTCACACACTAACCTTGGTCATGATATTGATGCTCACTCTTGGGCTTCTTTTTTGTTTTGATAAAGAAGCAAGATCTTTTAAAAGCAAATTTTAAAGTTTCATAAAACTGGAGATGAAAACAAGTCGTGCCATCCATCTCGGCTTGACTTTATGATAAAGTTTAGGTGATTTAAAGCTTCTGCATCAAATTGATATTTTCTTCCAAGCTAGGTCAACATAAAATACAAATGACATAGAAATTAGCTTTTTATTCTTTTCACTCCTGATTTTTAGTGGGACAGATGAAAACAGTTGGTTTGCAATGAAATAAGAGATTCTTTGCACTCATGATGGGTTTTAAACACAGTCCAAGGTTCGAAATGTAGAGTTGCTGCAAGGACTGCATTGCATTTCTCCATTTGTAATTTATTTCACTGACACGCCTTCATCTGAAATGATGGCACACTTATTTGTTGAAGCTTTTGGCTAAAATCAAACTTCTGAAACTTAAGCAAAGGAAGAAAAAGTATCGATATACGACTTTATTGTAGTACTTTTCTTTAAATGTGGGGATTTTGCGTGCACATAATTCCAAAAATAGTACTGACTTAAATACATTTGGACTTCATGATTTAAATGGAAGATTTCATGTATTTTAAGTGAGCTCATGTTTTTAACTTCTTTCTTTTTGCTGTTTGTCTTAAAGTTGTTTCTGAGGCTTTGGCCTTTTTTTGCTACATCTTCTAAAAAGTATTGTTATTTGGTTAATGCCCAACTCTTGGCTTTTTTTTAATGCCCTGCAGCAGCAGTGAAAATTAAACAAAAAAAGCTCTGGCCTGGCTGCAATTCTCCTCTCTGGTGCCATTCCCACAGTAATTCCTTTTCGACCATTAGATGTCCTCAGTCTTACAGGTGCCAAACGTCATCCAATCCAGAAGACTGAGGACATACTGTGAGTGCAGGCCATCATACATCTGTCTGCTGAGAGGGCAATACCAAGGCATCCTGACGGTTCTGAATCAATGCTCTGCACACTGCTCTACATACGCAGTCAAATGATGCAGAGAGTGGCGCCAATGACACCTCTAAGAATTACTAGACATGTGCACTGCCAAAAAATTTGTTTCGTTTCGTTTCGTTTTAAATTCGGATTTGTGTTATTTTGTTTTTCGGGATTCGGGTGTGAAAGTCAATTCGGACGAAATTCGGTAGCGGTAGGTCGACCGTTCGTTTCGTTTTCGGTTCTTATTCGGTTCTTATTCGTTTATTATTCGTTTCGTTTCGTTTGTGACATTTGAGGGGGAAAAAATATTTTTCTCCTTCTCTAATGTCACTTTTCTCCAACGAACGAAACTAATAAGAACCGAAAACGAAACGAACGCTCAACCTACCGCTACCGAATTTCGGAAATGGAAATTCGGATTCGTTTGCATTCGTTATGTCTGTAATTCGGAATTCGGATACATCCGAATGTCCGAATTTCCGAAAATTCGTCCGAATTTCGATTCGGAACGAAACGAATCACACATGTCTAATATATACATATATATGTGTATGTACATTATTTATCAGTTGACACATATATAATAACGGCATTAACAGACATTGATAACAGACATTGATAATGTTTATACAAAACCAATTTCTTATACACATATATCTAAAAAATATTTAAAACTCTTATAAAGATTTCATCAAAGGATATAAACACACTTGTTCAGCAAAAGCAAGTAGAACACTCTGAGGATGCACTTGAACATGAGTAGCAGTTATATACAGGCAGCATTCTGAAACAAATAATAAATCTTATCTGCATTTACCAAATTGTTAAATGGGTACTTTAACAGAGGTAATTCTTTGCACTGTGGAGATGTATAAGAGTGAAGCTCATTAGGTATGAACAGAATTATGTTATTAATGGCTTTGGCGTTATATTTTGTATGAAGGTTATGACGGTAGAGGAACCATATTCTTGTAATGTTTTAGACACATATGAAACAGATCAGCTTAAAGCATAACCCTCACCAAAACCTTTCTTTTTAGGCTCAATGAAAGAGTTAAAACCTTTGCCAGGGTTTCATTACTGTCTGTAACCCTGTTGGAAAATCCCCCTTCCTTGCTTTCTGTCTCATTGACAGTTCTATGGGACAGGACGTGATATAAAATCTATTTCATAGAGGCCGAGCAACAAAACCTTTTTGTAGTAGTGAGAAAAGATTAGCGCCTTTGTCAAATTTCTATTGCTGTCATGGTCTCTCTGCCCTGAAGACACCTAGTGCCTTCATTTCTTGTTGTAGGGTCAAAGTCAGGGTAATAGGGTAAAGGTGGAGGAATCTTATCCAAAGAGATCATAGACCATAATAAATACCTGGCACAAGCTCTAACTTTTCTCCATTCCATCCAGAACAAAAAAAAACACTTTAGGCTGAAGAAGTGCTTTAATGTGATTATAATTATCAATGTGTGTTAACATTGTAAAATGCTTGTATTCATGCAACGTTTGTAATTATATATGTACAAGGGGTTACGCCTTGCTGATCCACTTACCTCACTTCAAGTCAGCCAAGCAAGGTCTGTTTAAAACATATACTCTATCCATTCTCATTAGACATAAACCTCCCATAATGCTCCTGGTGAGCAGAGACCATCTGATCTTAGCCTAGGCAAGACTGCTTGGGAGAAGTTGCTTTTTATTTCTAGCAAAATAATGGGGGGAATTAACCAAAACTGGAGCAGTTACCCATAGTAACCAATCGGCTTCTATCTTCAGTTTGTTCAGTTAAGCTTTGAAAATGAAAGAAGCCAATGGGTTGCCATGGGCAACTGCTCCAGATTTGGGCTGCTCAAGTTTTGATAAATTCCCCCCAATGTGATTTAATTATGCAGACATATCCTGTGGTTAAGGTTCAAGCATGAATTTTGTTGACATGTTCAGTTTAAAAGGTCGATAAGCCACCAATGACTCAAGTATACGCTTTCTTGTAAGTGCTAAATCGTTTTTCCTTTTGTATCAACCTACAGAAAACTACTGGAATGCAGTGTCCTTCATCGCACCAAACTCTTTCCTTCATTTCTCTACATTCCAAGGAGAAACCAGCGCCGATATCTCTTTTTACTTTAAGACGTCTGCCCCAGATGGAGTATTTGTAGAAAACAGAGGAAGCACAGACTTTATAAAAATAGAACTCAAGTGTAAGTTTTGTTTTTCTTTTTGTATAATGTGTGTGTGCATTTTGTACTCTACTATTTATCTTAAACCATATGTGTAGACAAAACATTTATTTTTGTTTTGGATAGTGTAGGGGAGGGTTAAAACCCCTGTCAATTTTTTTCCCTGTGTGTGTCCCAATATGTAGATATTTATTCACTTTATGTCCTAAAGATTCATCCAGTTGAGACAATTGTCACCAGAAAAGGTATCCTTATTGGAATATTTAACTTCCTGTCCTGTTGACAACTGTAAAATGTTGGCTTCCCATCACTTTTTGCCCCAGTAATAATGGTGACCAGGACAAATTGAGAGGATAATTATAGCCAGGACAGGCAGCAATAAACACCTGTCTGTCCCCTTGGGAAATGAGGTTGCAATTTGCCTATAACTGCAGTTGCATATATCTCTTGAACTAATTATCATTTTTACTTGTGGTGAAAAATAGGTAACCTCTGGCTATACATTTTGTTCTATTATATGCTCAATTTGTATTATTTTAGTTTGTGACAGGCTCGCTTTAAAACCAATAAGCTCACTACATATGTCATAATACATAAATAAATCAAACATTATCAAAAAAAATATACTAATTATAGTATTCATTCAAACTATCTTGTATATTCTATACCACTATAAAGATTGCAGCTATAGGGCAACAATACCTTGTCCTCTTGGAAGAATATACGATGGGATAAAATTTACTGTTAAGATGGTACAATGATGATTATGTACTGCCATGAATTAAATCAAAGTGTACTTATCCTTTAGGTCCCTTTAGGGTAAGATCACCACTCCCTCCCTGTGCACAGATGAATACTTACCAGTTCCAAAGGGCTTGGTGGGGTTGTCTGTTGGCATCCTATGGTGGACTTCTCTCACTCGGCAGTGCCTGCACAGTGCAACCCCATTGTTCGTCTCCCTACCTTATAAAAGAGATAGATGAGCCCCATAGAAGTCAATGGGGATGTACTGTGCAAGCACAGCCAGGAGAAGGAGATGTCTGCCGCAGGATGTAAAAAAAAACAACCAAGGCTGGGCCCATTGAAACTCAATAAGTAGTCATTTGCGCATGAGGAGGAAGGGAGTGGTTATGTCACCTTAAAGGTCCCCAAAGGATAAGTGCACTTATCCTTAAGTTCAGACTTCAGAGTCTAAATAAAACACAGATAAGTAGTGAGTGGATGCTCTGCCAATGTTTTATGGTGAATTGTATTTATTTAAAAAGAAACCGAACTATGGAAGCTGTGCCCAAAAATGCAGGCAGAAGGCAAAGGACTAATCACCAATATTGCGTGTAGGCTCCCTGCAGCTAATATTTCCCCATTTATAACCTACCATGCCTTGTTCTGCACTGTGTCTCTGTGTGGATGCAACCATCTTGGTAGAGGTAGGATTTTGCTTCAGCAAGGAGATCATAGAGCAACACAGTAGTGACATCACCCTCACTCTCTGTGTGGATGCAACCATCTTGGTAGAGGTAGGATTTTGCTTCAGCAAGGAGATCATAGAGCAACACAGTAGTGACATCAATCTCACTCATATTTTCTTGAGACTAGCAGTCAGAGGCAGCAGTGCCTTCTATCTCACACTTATGAGGCTGTAGGCATAGGAGTGCCTAAGCACCTTCGCACACCAGGAAGTGTACTGCTATCTTTTAGGAGCAATTCAAGACAAAGGGTACATTTTTTTCTGGGTAATGCTTAGGCATAATTAACATTTCAAAATGTTCCCTATAACATAGCAAATATTCACTTTCTGAGCTCAGGTTCACTTTTTAATTTGATGGCAGTGTATTGTCTTGAGATATTTGTAATTTCAAGGTTAAGACAAAGATTGGTCAAAGGAAAGTTATTTTAGGAAGCATGTCTTCTAAATTTGTGCCTACAGCATTGGCACCTATGTCAGCTCAGCATGGTACTCCCCCTGCAGCTTCGCCCTTGTTAGCATCTACAGAACAGTAGGTGAATATCAAAAAATGTCACACGGCAAGGTTTTCATACACCTCAGTAATCCTGGGATGCATAATTACTTTTGGGCATCTAATTTTAATGGAATGCTAAAAATGTTAGCTGGCGCACATGGAGCTTTTCAAAGACCTTTTATCGAATCATTTAACTAGATTTTATCTGCTGCTATGTATTGTGCCAGTATCTATAGCAAAAGCTTGTTTTCCTGAAAACTGTAATCATAAGAATAAATCGACCTTTTACATCAAGCTGGAATCTTATTTCAGCCACATAAAATTGGAGAAAAACATTGCAATGTACATTAACGCGGACCTTTACACGCAAAAATCAAATTCTACTAATGCATCACTCTATGTATAATGATTCATAATAACATAGACATGTCAGGTGTAAAATGCTGTAATGTTGAAATACTTACACTAGCAGAGCATTCACTTCCTGCTTTGAAAGTGCAAATTTCTTCAGGTCTGCCAATGCCTTGTCATCAGCAGAGCATTGCTGGGAAATCTCATCTGCAATCTCATGAGATATCAGGGAAAGGCATTTTTCTCCCCTGAGATGATGTGCATGGTCACATGTCTTAGTCACATGTGCTAGACTTCCAGGAAGTAAAGGGAGATCTCGTAACCTGCCCTTAGTTAAAATGGCCACTGTCAGAAGACAGAAAAGAAAAATAAGGTATGCAGAAAATAAAAAGCCTGCAATTATGTAGAAGTATCATAAGATTGTCTTTTCAAAACATTTAAAGATGTGTTTGTTATTATTTTAAAGATATGGGTAAAGGTCCGCTTTAAGAATAACTCAAAATGCAGTTTTAACATATATAACATTGCTGATCATGTTTTTACATAATCCCTTAATTATGAGTTTCTGCCACATTGAATGTTTGAAGGTCATTTGAAAATGTGGCTCTTGTATTTTACAGTGTGTGCTCCAGTTATAGCTTTTCTGAGTTAGTTTTCAGTGATTTCCTCAAAAACAATTCTTTAGCAGCAAAGCACTAGGGTGCATTAAATGGGGTCATTGAGGTTACCCTGACACTACACCTATGCATAACCATAAAGTATATTTCCACTTTTGCAGTTAAATTTGAGAAAACCCAAATATATGTTTGTTATGTGTTCCCATTTCCACATCATACTAAAAAATAATTATCAAAAAAAAGTATTTTAGATATTTTGTTGCAGCAGGCAAAATGGCTGAATCCATGTTTTTCTGAGCACCTTCACAGTGATTTGTCCTTATACAAAAACTGAGACAGGGCTGTGTGAAATGTGTTTCTCTTAATAACATGCAATGCAGAAGTAAGAAGTGGTAATCATTTAACCTTTTGTTAGGACAGGCAGTATTCCAATCAACTTTTCAAATTATAATGGAATTATAAAAAAAATCAGACAGTACAGTACACAAACCCCTCACAACCCCTCCTAACATTACAACGAAGGAAAAGCAAGGTATATTGCTAGCAACTAAATAGCAATTTAAACTGCAAGAAGCATTTTTGTTATTTTTGTTTTAGCCTATGTGATATGAATGAGAACAAATTAGGTAAAGTAGGTCTTATCCCAATTTGACTGCAAACGTGGAAATACACTTTAAACCTTTGCGCTAAAACACCTGAACAATGCCGGCATCCAATCAGATTGTTCAAGTATTTTGAGAGCAAGCGGGGCCGACTAGGAAGATACTGAAGCTTGGCCCAGTGGAAGATTCCTCCATAAAGTTTAGCGTAAATGGAAGAATCTGTTGCACTCTTTCCATCTGACCATAGAAAATCTGCAGATAAACTACAAGTGTATGGCCAGCTTAACATTCGATCTGTACAAGGGAATTTAAAGGAAATGGTTATCTTTTTTAGCCTCCAACTCTAGTAGCACTCTCCAGCACCTCATGCCAGTTTTGGAACAATCAAATACACAGCTAGAAAGCAGAAAATCTTATATATTGTAGAATAGATTATATGCATGAGAGGCTTACTTTGGGAAGCCTAATATAAAGAGAACACACACTTTTGTAGATACAAGATTGCTCAAACTGCCAAGAGCCCCCACATGCTTATTCCAGCAACTGGCTAATATAACCCCCCAACACAAACTGTAGTCTCCAGTTACTGGATTTTGGGGTGCTGCCTCTTTGTATGCCTTTCAGGAAACAGGTGTTTTATACTCGTAACTAATTACAGGTAATAATTAACTTTTGACCTTACAATGAAAATAATGTAGCATAATTAACGAGGAAAACAGCTTAATCAAGGAAGCATACTTATATGATGTTTATGTAAATAATGTATAATATATGATAATGTATTCATTTTTAAGTTTATTCTCATAGCTAAATATGATTATTGCCTCTTATTGGTGATGATAGTTTATATTATATCCACCTTGAAAAAAGAAAAATGTTAAGCATTGACTGTTTCACTTCCACTATAATATACCATTTCGGAAATATTAGAAATATGCCAATTACAGATGTTATAAATAATTGTAATGGAATTTTTGGCTGACTCTTGGCCATATAAAGTGATAACTGATGATCATGATCTTTTAAAACATACTTCCATGCTGTGCAGTACATATGGACCTTTAAAAGGCAACTGCAGAATGATATCCTATTAATTTAAGGGGTCTGAAGTGGTGTTTCCTTCCCTCATGGTCAGTTACAAACTAAAAGTGAGAGCACAGTTCTGCTAAGTGTCTAAAGGTAAAGTTGTTGAATCTGTATGGCCCTAGATCCTTATGACAGTGATGTGTGCAGTGTTCTTTCAGTTAGTATCCTGCATGGCTGTTAGAGATAAGACAATGAAATAGAGGGAAACTGGAGGGACCAGTAACAAATCTTATATATATTGAACAAGACCAGTGATATCTTTTATTTAGGTCCTCAGAATGTCTTGCTATTGTATCACATTTAAGTGTGGTGACATAGTAAGAAAAATAACTATTTGTACATAGAGAGAAAATCCATTATGGCCCCTTCTTCGGGACGCAGAAGCGATCTGGCGACAGGTAAGTCGCCAGGATCGCTTCTGTTGTAAAGCCGACAGTCGGCTCTACAAGTTTAAACAGAGTCCCGGCGGCAAAAGTCGCCGGGAGTCTGTTTAAACAGCCCCGATGCTGGCGACGTACACTGTACGTCGTCAGTCACGAAGGGGTTAAATGTAGGCATTGTCATTGTCTGCTGGTTTTGTATAGGCTGCTAGATTCCAAGCTTTCATGTGAACAAGCACAGTACCTCTGAATCCAGAAGGAACAACCTTCATAGTTGTTATGGGCCAGTGATTTACTAAATAGTGAAGCCATATGATCAGCATGACAGCCATCAAACTAGCAGATTCTAACAAACTAATTGCCTAGAGGCTTTAATATCAGTAGTCTCAAAACCCCATAAAGACCCACCCTCTCTAACAATTATAGACACATTTTCCTGCTTGACTTATTTTTAAAAAACCTTCCTTCTAATTTAGCAGTGCCCCTAGAAAAAAATATTGCCATTCAGGCCATGGGGATCAAGTGGGCGAAACCCCCAAGGCAGGTCAAGGATAATATTTGCAAAACAATAAATCTAATATGCTAATATTTACAACACACTATTGATGCTATTGGGTTTAGACATGGACAAAGCATTTAATAGTTTATCTTGAGCCCTACAGTGATATGGAATCACCAGTTCCTTTTAAATCCTCTTAAATCTCTGTCTCTGCAGTCCATATCTAAAGTTCCGAGCTTGAAATTCCAATCCCACACATATCCATGGAGGAATGGAGCCCCTTGCCCCTCACTTTAGAAACAAGCCTAACATTTCTAGCCTAAAATACATTGGGCAGAAAAGTAAATGACCCTCTCTACTTACAAACCCCCAATACTCCCTTTTGCAATTTATTGATAAAACATAAACTTCACCCCCATGTGAGAAATACTTTCTCATGCAATATTTATGTTCATGTGTGATCTCAGTAATGCTGAAGGTTTTGCCAAGGCTGCTAAAAATATCTATATTGTTTTTACTCTAGCCAACACCGAAGTCTCGTTTTCATTTGATGTTGGAAATGGCCCCGTGGAGCTTATTGTTACCTCTCCCACTCCGCTGAATGATGACCAGTGGCATCGGGTCAGAGCAGAGAGAAATGTGAAAGAAGCCAGATTACAGGTCGATCAGCACCAACCACAGATTCGGAAAGCGCCCACTCACGGTCACACGCGACTTGAGCTCACCAGCCAGTTCTATGTTGGTAAGAAAATCAGTCCATTTGGAAATTCAGACATATAATTGGTGTATTCTAATTCTACTGATACACATGTAGGATGAAATCATTAAAGACACTGGATGAGTTTTGTTCTATCATGGCCAATGAGATTTGAAAGTAAACATGTCTTCATCTTACTTTTTTTCTCCACAGTTTCTTGGATAGCGCTGTACTAGTGACAGGATAAAATGCTAATTTACCTGTTATTGCAAATTATGCCAGAAATTGGGCAATACTTTTGAATAGGGTTTAGTCCACATTAGACATGTGCATGGCAAAAAAATTAATTTCGGACTAAACAAATAAAAACAAAAAAAATTTCAATAGTTTCGTCAAAGGAAACTAATTTGAATGCTGCTTTGGATTCGGAAGCAACGAGCCTCCAAATCCAAAACCGCACAATAACGAAAATTTGTCCGAATAACTGATTTTTCTGAATCTTAACTGAATAACTGATTTTTCAGAAACGAACCGCACATGTCTACACATCATAAATGTTATATA